ATGCTGGCTGGGGGGCCAGGCCGGCTCGGCAGGGGTGGGGCGTGTCTGCGCCAGCAGGAACGGGCAGGGAAAGCAAGGTTACCTTTCGCCACGTTCACCCAGGGGTGTTTTCTGGCCTTGGCGGGCGGCCAGGGGGGAGACAAGCGGGCGCCGAGCCAGCCCCAGGCCAGCTGGTGAGCTGCTCAGACGCCAAGGCTGGAGACTCGGATCCTTGGAAGCCAGGATCTGAGTCTGGCTGGGATGAAGATCCCCTGACTGGGATGAAGAAGACACTCCGGCATTCCAGGCCCAGGGTGCCGCGCCCGGGCCCAACCCGCAGGCAGGACTGCGCGGAGAGACTGTCTGATGAGGGGCATTTCCAGCGGGAATGGGGAAGCAGGGACGGAGTGGCAGGCCCCTCTGCGGAGGGCGAGTGAGGCCGCTGTGGCTGCAGGCCGTCTGTTATTCAGTGCGTGGGCATTTCTGACATTTCCTCTGTACTTAATTAATATCAAATTACCCCAGTTATGCTGGGTGTTGTTTGAGACTTTGCCTAGAATTCTGCTTTGATATTTTTCTTGCACTTACCCAGTTTGTCCTTGCTTGTGCCTTACTTAGCATTTCTGTCACTTTACTGGGTTGCCGTTCAGAAATACACAGAGTTGGGTTTCATTGTTGTGCCTAACCAGAGCCCTTGCTTTAGTGAGTGTGCACATCCATTCAATGTGTGTCACTATAAGCGACACATTTGATGCAGTGTCTGCCATCTTAACTGCTGCCTTTTAAAAATGCACTGCTGTCTCATTTATTTTATCTTAACATATGAACCAAATTTTCTTTTAAAAACAGTCTGCAGTGCTTTGGAACCTACAATTCCTTTTAAAACATTATTTAAACCTAACTGCCAGGGTCGAGTGTGACACAGCGTATCGGAGTCCTTGCCAACACATTCCGGGAGTTCCACGCACTTTTGTATTCCTCCTCCTCCTCCCCCGTCTTTTGGTCTTTATTTGTAACTTAGATCTAGAGGACTGGCCTAGTTAACACTCTGTCTTTTCTTAATATATACAAATATTTTGATCTTTCCATCCACTTTTATAAATGATATTTATAAATATTTGTTTTTACCTTGAAAGTATATTTTTATACCTATCATTAAAATATAAAATAGTGAATGTTTATTGTAGAGAATTAAAATAACACACAAGTGATATGGAAAACTGATATGCTGCATTTTAAAAAATCCCTCCTTACTTGATTTAAGCATACTTTTCAAGTGGCTGCCTTCAGATGCGTTTCTGATTTAAAGAGACTCTGCAGGTCCTTGGTGCTGTTGATTTATGAGGCCTGAGCACGCGAACATCACGGTTGGTGAGAAGAATCAGCCCGGGGAATATGGGGTAAAATAGTTCAGCAATAAACCTTGTAACCAATATAATTTCCCATAACAAGTGTTTGTGATCTCAAGGACAAACAACAACAGATCTGTGGACTGTGGACTTCCGGAAAGTCTTTGTCAATTTTGTAGATTTAGACAGAAACTCGCATTTCTGGGCATGAGGTGCAAAGGAGCGGGGCCTGAACTCCGGGCTCCAGGACTGTGGGCAAACTCCGAGTCCTCCCGCCTGCCCGGGCCCGGGGTGGACGCTGGGTTTGCAGTTGTATCAACAGCCTAGCAAGGTGTTTTATTAAGTGCTGTCGAGATTGGTTCCTATGAAGTTGGTTAATTTTAATTAAGACTGAATATGAGAATATGGAACTTAATAATTTATTTCTGGCCGGCCTTGGTGGCTCACGCCTGTAATCCTAGCACTCTGGGAGGCCGAGGCAGGCGGATCACTCAAGGTCAGGAGTTCGAAACCAGCCTGAGCAAGAGCGAGACCTCATCTCTACCATAAATAGAAATAAATTAATTCACCAACTAAAAAATATATAGAAAAAAATTAGCCGGGCACGGTGGCGCGAGCCTGTAGTCCCAGCTACTCGGGAGGCTGAGGCAGTAGGATTGCTTGAGCCCAGGAGTTTGAGATTGCTGTGGGCTAGGCTGATGCCACGGCACTCACTCTAGCCTGTCTCAAAATAATAATAATAATAATAATTTATTTCTCAGGCTGCTGTACACACCCATTCCCTCCTGTTTCCCACTAACATGCCTGCACAGGATCATCTCGGACGCCATTTGATCGTTTCCTCGAACGGTGCAGGGGCACCTGGCACTTACAGACCTGCTCCCCGCAGTCCCCACGTGGGTGTATCAGCAGTTGGTGCTTCTGTCTTTTGACTATGTAAATACTGTTCCTGGAGCCACGCAGTGTGCTGTGATCACGTTTCTTTCTTATAAAACATTTTGCTTGTTCTACAGTCAATTTTCCTGTGGCCTAGATGGCTGTATGCTCCCTCTGAATCTCCCCACACCATCCAGCAGCCCCTCAACACAGTGTTTCAGGCGGGTGACCGTACCCTGTGAACGGTTAGCCATGTTTCTCTCCTCTGGGGAAGCCAGCTGTCCCCACGCGCTCTAGGCAGCTTGCTTTCTAGACCGCTGCCCCTGGAGTTTCCTCATCTTCTCTCCTGGGTTAGATCGTGCAGCATCTTTCTGAGAAAGGGTGTATGGAAAGTAAATTGTGTATCTTTATTACTCTGCATGATTGGTAGTTAGTCTGGGTATAAAATTCTAGATTGAAACAGGTTTCTCGTTAGAATTTTGAAGCGAATTTTTTTGTTGTTCCAGGTTTTTTTTTTTTTTTTTTTTTTTGGAGACGGAGTCTTGCTCTGTTGCCCAGGCTGGAGTGCAGTGGTATCGTCATAGCTCATTCCTGGGCTCCTGGGATGAGGTGATCCATGCCTCGGCCTCCTGAGTAGCTGGGAATATAGGCATGCGCCACCACGTCTGGCTAATTTTTTCTATTTTATGTAGAGATGGGGTCTCACTGTGTTGTTCAGGCTGGTCTTGAACCCTTGGCCTCAAGCAGTCCTCCCCCTTGGCCTCCCACAGTGCTGGGGTTACAGGTGTGAGCCACCGCGCCTGGCCTGTTGTTCCAGCTTCTAATGTTACCGTTGGAAAGGCAAAGCCACCCTGACTCCCAGCGCCTTTTATATGACCTGTATTTTCTCTCTGGAGGCTTTTACAGTTTCCTGTTCGATCCTGGCACCATGAAATTTCAAAATTCAAGTCTTCTTTCATCTGCCCTGCTGGTGCGTTTTTCAGTTCCAGGAGGTTTTTTGCCTTGCTTCTTTGGAATTCTGTCTCCTCCTGCCCCCCAGCCACTCACTCGCTGGGGTCCCCACGCCGGCTCTGCTTTCCTGTATTTTCTCATCCGTTGACCTTCTCCATATCTTTTGCTCTACTCTGGGATATTTCCTTAATTTTATCTTATAACCCTTCAACTAAATTTTTAATTCTGTATTTGTATTTTTAATTTCTGAGAGTTCTTTTCTATTTTGTAAATTTTCCTTCTTTTTACAAGTTTTCCCCTGTTCTCTTTGTTGTCTGTTTCCTCTGAACTCTGTCTTGGGATAAAAACTTGGGGGATAACTTGGGGACCCCAGATAACTTGGGGTCCCAGCGCCAGAGCAGGTGGCAGCCCCGCCCTAGCAGGATGTGCAGGGGCTGGGCGTGGTGTTCCCAGTATGTTTGCTGCGGGTGCCCGCTTACCTGGTAGACAGCTTGCTGGCTAGCCGTCCCTCCCACGGCCAGGGGTCTCCACACGGGACACTTGGTCACACTGACAGACGCCGTCCTGTCTCTCGGCTGACCTGTGTCCAGGTTGTACCTGCCTGACCATTGCTCCGAGGCTCGGAACCTGACCGGCATCCTTGGGAAAACTCAGCCTGGGGCGGGCCCTGGTTCTCCACAGGGAAGGTACAAATTCGGCACCAAGCATGCATTCCCTGCAGATCCTGGGCGGAGAGAGTGCCAAGAGACGGGAGGGTGGTCCTCCGTCTGCGTCATGGGAGGCTGGGGTGAAGAGCGTTATTATATAAGGAAGTGGGGCAGGGGTCACTTTAAGTTTCTGGGCAAATGCCTGAAAGATCCATTTAAAGTTAGCGGTGGGGGCCGGGCGCAATGGCTCATGCCTGTAATCCTAGCACTTTGGGAGGCCGAGGCAGGAGGATTGCTTGAGCTCAGGAGTTCGAGATCAGCCGGAGCAAGTGTGAGACCCTGTCTCTACCATAAATAGGAAGAAATTAGCCAAACAACTAAAAATAGAAAAAATTAGCTGGGCATGGTGGCGCATGCCTGTAGTCCCAGCTACTCGGGAGACTGAGGCAGCAGGATTGCTTGAGCCCAGGAGTTTGAGGTTGCTGTGAGCTAGGCTGATGCCACGGCACTTTAGCCCAGGCAACAGAGTGAGACTCTGTCTCAAAAAAAATAAAGTTAGCGGTGGAAAAAGCAGGGAGTTGAGTCTGCTGGGTGGGGAGATGCCTCTCAGTTCTCATGGCTGGCCCTAGAGTGAGTGTGGTGCCCCACCCCCGCGCGGCTGCAGACTGTGTGCGCTGGTCGCGTGACAAGCTCCCTCCTGGGCTGCGTGTTCAGTGTGCTGCTTTCCTCGCGTGCACATTCATATTTCAGTGAGTCATGAAAAGCCTCGGTGAAAGTCTCGTGTGTGTGTGTGTGTGTGAATTCTGGGCTTACTTGTCGGGTAAACATGGGGTGAGCTGGCTTTCATGCCTGGGGATCCCCAAATGCTTTAGGCCTTTTGTGGGGTGTGGGTCCACTCACACAGCTGGTTGGTGGGTCTGGGGCCGGGCAGTGGCATAAGCCCCCTGACAAGTTTTCAGGAGGATGCGCCACCTGCCCTCTGCAGTGCTTGAGTGTTGATCTCAGTCGGGGGGCCTCTGGCTCACTTTCTCTAAGGAAATGACTTCTTGATACCCACTAAGACTTGGGTGGTGGTCCAGGTGCCCCTCATATGGACCTCAACCCTCTCGCTGTTGCCCACCTTATGGCACCCGGGGCTGCAACCCCAGAGTCTTCCTGGGGATCCACCAGGCAAGTCAGAGTCTCAGCAGCATCTCCCTCTGCGGGTGCTCAGGTCCATCCCCGCATCTGTCTAGCAATAGGACACCTGGCATTAGGACGCCTAGTATTGGGGTGCCCAGAATTAAGATGCCCAGCATCAGCACGCCCAGCAGTAGGACGCCCAGCATCAGGACGCCCAGCAGTAGGACACCCAGTATCAGGACACCCAGCAGTAGGACGCCCAGCATCAGGACGCCAAGCAGTAGGACACCCAGCATCAGGACGCCCAGCAGTAGGACGCCCAGCAGTAGGACGCCCAGCATCAGGACGCCCAGCAGTAGGACGCCCAGCATCAGGACGCCCAGCAGTAGGACGCCCAGCATCAGGACGCCCAGCATCAGGACGCCCAGCATCAGGACACCCAGCAGTAGGACGCCCAGCATCAGGATGCCCAGCAGTAGGACGCCCAGCAGTAGGACGCCCAGCATCAGGACACCCAGCAGTAGGACACCCAGCATCAGCACGCCCAGTATCAGGACGCCCAGTATCAGGACACCCAGCATCAGCACGCCCAGTATCAGGACGCCCAGCAGTAGGACACCCAGCAGTAGGACGCCCAGCATCAGCACGCCAAGCAGTAGGACGCCCAGCATCAGGACGCCCAGCATCAGGACACCCAGTATCAGGACACCCAGCAGTAGGACACCCAGCATCAGCACGCCCAGTATCAGGACGCCCAGCAGTAGGACACCCAGCAGTAGGACACCCAGCAGTAGGACACCCAGCAGTAGGACGCCCAGCATCAGCACGCCCAGCAGTAGGACGCCCAGCATTAGGACACCCAGCATCAGCACGCCCAGCAGTAGGACGCCAAGCAGTAGGACGCCCAGCATCAGCACGCCCAGTATCAGGACACCCAGCAGTAGGACGCCCAGCAGTAGGACGCCCAGCATCAGGACGCCAAGCATCAGGACGCCCAGCATCAGGACGCCCAGCAGTAGGACGCCCAGCATCAGGACGCCCAGAATCAGGACGCCCAACATCAGGACGCCCAGCATCAGGACGCCCAGCAGTAGGACGCCCAGCATCAGGACGCCCAGCATCAGCACGCCCAGCAGTAGGACGCCTAGCATCAGGACGCCCAGTATCAGGACGCCCAGCATCAGGACGCCCAGCAGTAGGACACCCAGCAGTAGGACGCCCAGCAGTAGGACGCCCAGCATCAGGACGCCCAGCAGTAGGACACCCAGCATCAGGACGCCCAGCATCAGGACGCCCAGCAGTAGGACACCCAGCATCAGGACGCCCAGCACTAGGACACCCAGCATCAGGACGCCCAGCAGTAGGACACCCAGCAGTAGGACGCCCAGCATCAGGATGCCCAGCATCAGGACGCCCAGCAGTAGGACACCCAGGATCAGGACGCCCAGCATCAGGACGCCCAGCAGTAGGACACCCAGCATCAGGACGCCCAGCAGTAGGACACCCAGCATCAGGACGCCCAGCAGTAGGACACCCAGCAGTAGGACGCCCAGCAGTAGGACGCCCAGCAGTAGGACGCCCAGCATCAGGACGCCCAGCAGTAGGACGCCCAGCAGTAGGACGCCCAGCAGTAGGACGCCCAGCATCAGGACGCCCAGCATCAGGACGCCCAGCAGTAGGACACCCAGCAGTAGGACACCCAGCATCAGGACGCCCAGCAGTAGGACGCCCAGCATCAGGACGCCCAGTATCAGGACACCCAGCAGTAGGACACCCAGCATCAGCACGCCCAGTATCAGGACACCCAGCAGTAGGACACCCAGCAGTAGGACGCCCAGCATCAGCACGCCCAGTATCAGGACACCCAGCAGTAGGATGCCCAGCATCAGGACGCCCAGCATCAGGACACCCAGCAGTAGGACACCCGGCATCAGGACACCCAGCAGTAGGACGCCCAGCATCAGGACACCCAGCATCAGGACACCCAGCATCAGGACGCCCAGCATCAGGACGCCCAGCAGTAGGACGCCCAGCATCAGGACACCCAGCATCAGCACGCCCAGCAGTAGGACACCCAGCAGTAGGACGCCCAGCATCAGGACACCCAGCAGTAGGACGCCCAGCAGTAGGACGCCCAGCATTGGGATGCTGCTATGGTTTAGATGTTTGTCATTGAAATTTAACAGTATTAAGAGGTGGGACATTTAAGAGGTGATTAGGTCATAAGGGCGTCGTCCTTATGGGTGGTATAGATGCCATTATAAATGGGCAAGTTCAGCCCCCTCTAGTGTTGTCTGACCCTCAGTCTTGGACCCCCAGTCTTCAGAACTGTGACCCAATACATTTCTGTTCATTGTAAATTACCTTGTTTCAGGTTGTAGCAGCAGACATGCATTAGGACACCTGGTGTTAGGGTGTTTGGCATTAGAATGCCTGGCGTGAGGCTTGTATGAATTCACCATCACTGACTTAACCAAGACTTAATGTTGTACATCTGTCTGTCTTAGTCACTTCAGGCTGCCACAACGAAGTACCATAGACCGAGTGTATTAAACAATAGAAATTTATTTCTCAAAGTTATGGAGGCTGGAAGTACGAGATCCAGGAGTGGGCAGGGCTGGTTCCCCCTGAGGCCTCTCTCCTTGGCTTGTAGGTGCTGTCTTCTCTCCCTGGTCCTCACGTGGCGAGAGGGGTGAGGGAGCTCTCTGGGGTCCCTTTTACCAGGGCACTGATCCCATTCCTGAGGCTCTACCTCATGGCCTAATCACCCCCAAATACCCCACTGCCTCATATTAAACACCATCCCCTGGGGGTTAGGATGTCAACACATGAATTTGGAAGGACTCGTTCAATCTGCAGCAGCACCACACTTCCAGGCTTTGGCTCTCATAAGCAATGTTGTAACAAGTACCCTTGCACTTATATTCTGTCATTTGTTCAATGTTTATTGAGTTCTCTCTGAGCTACACATAGAGACAGGCTCTGTCCCGAGGAAGCGTGCATTCGGGTGTGGGAGACAGCAATAAACAAGTAACCCTGCACAGGCTTCTAAGAAAAAAGCTCTTCTCGCATCCAAAGAAATAAAAATAGACAGGTAAAGAAGCACTGGACCTGGAGGTGGTGATTAGTGCTGCTCGGGAAATTAAGCAGGCGGGGGCTGGCCTTGGGGGTCTGCTCTGGGGTGGGCACTGCAGTGGCCGTGGCCGGGGGTCTTTCAGGAACCGTTATATTCCTGTTGGCTTGTCTATAAGATGGACTCTGGCCAAAGGCTGCCCACAGCTAAAATTCCTCTGACACCCGTTTCCAAGCTGCCCCCTAAAGAGGTCACGTGACTCTACCTCCCCAAAAGTACACCGCAATACGGTCACACACCCCTAAACACAGGGTTTGCCAATGACTGCTGATCTAAGGACAAAGTTCATTTCATTTTTAGTTACATTTTTTGAGTAAGAGTGTGACTCGACAACTTTCATACACTCGGTAAAAATTTTGAGTAACTGGTAGTAATTGCCATTCATGTTTGTTTATGATTTATATGTTTCAGGTGAATTTTCTGTCGTTCACTAATGCCTTTCCCTCTGCGCCGCTTGCCCTTTGACGTCACGATGTCCCGAGGTGTCTTCCCGTGCATGTTTGTGTGGTCGGACCCGGCAGGGCTGGCTGGTGTGGCTTTCTCCTTACAGCTTGCGTCCCTGCCTCTTTCCCGTGCCTGGTAATTTTTGACTGGGTGCCAGACAGTGTGAATTTTACCCCACTGGGGGCTGGCTTTCTTTGTTTTCCTGAATATACTGTTGAGTTTTGTTCTGGATGTGGCCAATTCGCTGTCTTGTTTTTCGGCTTTATTAGGTGGGATCAGCGCAGAATTTAGTCTGAGGATGCTTTTCCCCACAGTCGAGTTCGTGCCCTTTTCATTACTCTGACTGATGCCTGTGATTTACGACTTTTTTCTCTCTCTGTTGGAAACACTCTAGTTAAAAAGGCAGAGATTGTCAGGTTGGATGAAAAGTCAAGACCCAGGCCAGGCTCAGTGGCTCATGCCTGTAATTCCAACACCTTGGGAGGCTAATGTAGGAGGCCTGCTTGAGCCCAGGAGTTCAATACCAGCCTGGGCAACACAGCAAGACCCCATCTCTAGAAAAAATAAGAAAAAATTAGCTGGGTGTGGTAGCACACCTATAGCTGGGGCTACTCAGAAGGTTGAGGCTGGAGGATCACTTGAGCCCAAGTATTCAAGGTTGCAGGTGCTATGACAATGCCACTACACTCCAGCCTGGGTGACAGAGTGAGATCCATTCTGTAAAAAAAATAAAAATTAAAAACATCAAGACCCAACTCTGTGCTAAATACAAGAAACTCATTTTAAAATAAAGACACAACAAAGTAAAAGTGGAAAGATTGTAAAAGATAAACCATGATAACATAAATTAAAAGGGTGCTTACGTGGCTACATTAACACCAGACAAGGGAGATTTCAGTGCAAGAAATGTTACCAGGGAGGAAGAAGGTCATTTCCTAGTGAAGACATCAGTTAATCAAGAGGATGTCACAGTCCCAACTGTTTCTACACCTAATAACCAAGTTCCAAAATATGTAAGCAAAAACGGATAGAGCTTAAAGGAGAAATAAACAAATCCACAAATTGAGGTGGGGATAGTCAAGTCAATAATTGATAGAACCAAAAGACAGAAGAGTAATAAGGACATCTAGGACTTGGACAACACTGTCCACCAGCTCAACCTAACTGACATTTATAGACACTCAAACAACAGCAGAATATACATTCTTTGCAAGCATCCATAGAGCATTTGCCAAGATAGAGCACACTCTGCGCCGTAAAACAAGTCTCGGTAACTGTAAAAGGCTTCAAGTCATGCAAAGATAACTCTCCAACCACAATGGAATAAAATGAGAAATAAATAACAGACAGTATCTGGAAAGTCCCCCAAATATTTGAAAACTGAATAACACACTTCTAAATAAACCCTGAGTCAAAGAAGAAATCAGAATGGAAATTAGAAAGTATTGTGAACTGAATGGAAATGAAAAAAATCAAAGTTTGTGAGATTTAGCCAAGGCGGTGTCTAGATAGAAATTTACATTGCTAAACACCTCTATTAGAAAAGAAGAAGGCTGGGTGCGTTGGCTCACACCTGTAATCCCAGCAGTTTGGGAAGCTGAGGCGGGAGGATCGCTTGAGGTCAGGAGTTCAAGAACATCCTGAGCAAGAGCGAGCTCCCGTCTCCACTAAAAATGGGAAAATTAGCCAGGCGTCATGGTACACATCTGTAGTCTCAGCTACTCAGGAGGCTGAGGCAGGAGGATCACTTGAGCCCAGGAGTTGGAGGTTATAGCGAGCTAGGATGACTATGATGACACCACTGCACTCCAGCCTTGGCAACAGAGCGAGACCCTGGGAGGGAAAAAGAGAATTAACTTTAGCTTTACCATAAGAAGCTAGAAAAAAATAAAACAAATGAAACCCAAGGTAAGCAGAAGAAAGGGAAAAATAAAGATCAGAGCGGAAATGAATAAAATAGTGGGGGGAGAAAAGACACCAAGAGCTAATTCCGTAAGATGATACATAAAATTGATGACCCTGCAACCAGCCTGGCGAGGAGAAAGAGGGAAGACACCAACGGCCAGTGCCGGGACTGGGAGAGGCGGCATCATGACAGATTTTACCGACATGAAAGAATAATAAATGAGTATTAGGAACAGCTTCATGCCAATGAATCTGACAACTTTGATGAAAGAATGAATTTCTTAAAAGACACCATTAAAAAACAAGTCATGCCACAAACTGAGGCAAAATATTGGTAAGTCATGTCTGATAAAGGATTTATATTTAGAACATGCAAAGAACTCTTAGTATAGAATAATAAGGACACAAGCAACCCAACTCGAGAATGGACAAAAACTCAGGAAAGTGGACCCTAACCCAGTGCAGAAGGATCCAAGTACTCTGCGCAGACGCTCTGCTCTCAGGAGGGTGAACAGATCATGGCCCGCCGCAAGGGGGGGCCGTGCTGCAGATTCCCTCCTGAGAGCAGTGTGGGGAGGGGGCCCCCAGTGGAGGGACCGAGGTCAACACAGCGGTGAGGGGACACTTGATGGGATGTGATGAGAAGGGCACTTGTGACCTCTTCCTCCCCAAATTCATAACTCCAACCTAATCACGAGAAAAACATCACACAAATCCTAATTGAGAGGCAGTATACAAAATTTCCCAAAAGTACCCCTTGCAACTCTCACGGTCATCAAACCCAAGGACAGCTTGGGAAAGTGTCTCAGCCAAGAGGAGTCCAAGGAGCCATGACGACTAAATGTCATGTGTCATTCTGAATGGGACCCTGGGACAGACAAAGGACATTAAGGAAAAACTGAGGAAGTCTGATTAAAGTGTGGACTTTAGTTACTGATGGCAAATCAGTGTGGTCTCATTAACTGTGACAAGTGAACCACATTCTCAACAGGAGAAACTGGGTGCCGGGTGTATGGAAACTCTCTGTACTGCCTTTCTTTAAAATTTTTCTGTAAACCTAAAAAGTTTACATTTTAAAACATGCAAAAGATTTGTATAGCTATTAAGCAACATAAAAAGATGCTCAGCATCATCAGTCCGAGAGACAAACTAAAGCCACATTGAGAGATCACTTCACAGCCGCTGGGATGGCTGGAATCAAAAAGTGCAACAAGACCAAGCGTCCGTTGTCGGGTGTGTGGAGAAACCACCCCCTGCGCTGCTGGGGGACTTTGGAAAGGTGCAGCCCTTCTGGAAACTGGTTTGGCGGTTTCCTAAGGAGTGACATAGAAATTTACTGCACAACTCGGCAAGCCCACTCCTACCGAGGCAGCCCAGGAGAAGTGGCAGCGCCTGTCCGCACAGACCTGCACGTGGAAACAGGCCGTGTCCAGCACGGGTGGGTGGGTAGCGGGCTCCTGCTCGGCAGCAGAGGCCCGGGTGGTGACGCGCCAGCGCGCCGTCTCCCCGTGAAGCATCCTGCTCACAGGAAGGAGCCAGGTCAAAGAAAGCACCGGGTGTGACATGTACTTTCCATGTGCGTGACATCCCAGAGGGTGTGCGGCAGGCTTCGGAGAGAGGAAGCAGATCAGTGGCTGTCTGGGGCAGTGGGCGGGGGTCCCAGGGAGCACCCGGAACCTTTGGGGGCTGGATGTGTTCAGTCTCTAGATCGTGGTGATGGTTGCAGGGAGCATACATGTGTCAGAACTGTGCGATTTGTAGTGTGTCGATCTCGCCTCCATACCCCTGTTTTAAGATTGGGTTCTGAGTGTCATGGGGGACGTCTGCCTTGGTGTGCCATGGTGGTGACGTGGGCATGAGTGTGGGCCCCACGGCCAGAGGCCCACCCCCCCCACCCCCTCGGGCCACCGTCCCTGTTCAAGGCAGCAGGAGGTGGGCAGAGCAGAGCAGAGCAGAGGGTCTCCGCAGCCACTGAGCCCCGCCCTGCACACCCCTGCCCCACCCAGGAGCTCGGGAAACGGGCAGCTCCTGCTGTCCCCAGGAGAGGAAGGCAGGGAGGTGCTGGGGCCAAGGGCAGCAGCCGGACGTGCGATTCGCAGTTGCCAGCTGTGCTCATGGACCGCGTCAGGATGGTGACACTGCTCTGACGTTGAACCATCTCTGCTTTCCGAGGACGAGCCCGCTGCCTGCGCATTCCACCTCCCCATAGAATTCTCTAAGAAATGCCAGACTTCCCCTCTCCACGTTAGCACTCTGCACTGACATTCATGTGGGTGCGTGGTTCTCTCTCTCGGCCAATTTTTGGCATTGCTTTTATGTTAATTTCACAAAAATAGCACAGAGGATTTCCTTCTTTTTCTCCATTCCAAGAACATTCTAAATATCATTGGAATTATCTTGTTTCTTGAATGTTTAAAGAATCCATCTGTGTGAATTCTTAGACATAGTTCTCAGTTTTTTACATTTTTTAAAGAAAATCTAATTCATTCAAGTTTTCAACTGCGTTAGGGTCGAATGTACAATATATTATTTGACCATTTTGATTTCCTTTCTCTGCGGCCGCGTCTCGACCGTGTCCCCACCCCGTGGCCTCCTGCTCTCTGTCCTGTCTGCACAGCGCCTGCTGCGCGGGTGTTTCAAGACACAGCTCCCAGACTGTTCCATTTTGTTTTTTTTTTTTCATTTATTCGTCCATCAGTTTATCCCAATGTATTAAGCCTCGTTGAGTTTAGGCCCAAGCATTGAACAATGCCAGGGACACCACTCTGCGCTGACGCGGAGCGGGCGCACAGATGGCGAAGGGGCTGCTAAGGCGCGGCGCGCCCGACTCGCGGGCTCCTGCAGCCCGAGGGGCACAGAGCTAGGTAAGACGCGGTCTCTTCTTTCGGGGAGCTCGCAGACTAGGGGGCAGCACGTGACCGTGGCGGGGCACGCGTCGCGGTGTCATGCTGGAGACCTGCACAGGTGACTGGGCACAGAGGCTGCGGCAGCCACTTCCATTGGCCAAAACGATGGAAGAGTGGGGTGCTGAGCCCAGAAAGGCTTCGTAGTGGTGACTTGAAGACGGGACCGGCAGAGAGAAGAGAAGAGACTGGCATTGCTGGCGGGGCTGGGGGCGCCAGGCCGCACGTGACCGACCAGACGAGACCGCGGGGGACAGCCGCCAGCAGGGCGGGCTGTGGGGCTGCTCGGGAGGCAGCAGGAGAGTCAGGCTGTGAGGTCAGGTTTAAGTGTCCCGATTATTGACTCCATTGACATTTGTCTTTCTCCGCATATTAATTTTGCCATTAGCTTTACTAATTCCTCTCTCCTGCTTGCCTCGGTTCAAAAGGCTGTTTTTCTCTAGAGGTTTGAAGCAGAGTGTGTTTTGTTGTCCTTGTTTGCTGAGGAAGGGGAGCGTTTAAGGGTGTTTGAGTTTTGGGTGACCATTGGACTTTAGCAAGAGTCACCTCTGGTTCCAGCACGTGTGGCTTTAACAATGTTTTCTAGCACGTTAGTTGGGCCTGGGAGGACTTTTGATTCCTCCTAGTCGTGTATCTGTTGTTGACCCTGTTGCAGCTCGAGCCAGAGGATACGACTTTATTTC